TAAATATGAATACTATAATAATAATAATTGTACTGTTTAAATAATAACTAATTTAAATTCAATTGATCATATACTTAAATATTTGCACGTCCTAACAGGACAAAACATGTTGATCTTTTATTTAATGTAACAACTTATTTACCGTGTTTTATGCAAAAAAATGATTGATTCTATTGATTCTTGATTCTAAACCGTATAACAATTCCTGAAAATTGTTTTGATGCTTTGAAGCTCAACAACAACCATTAAAATGTACTCCTGAAATAATAGATGCTGGAGAGACAATAAATCCAGAGGACAAAACTACCAATCAGCTTGCTTATCATCTATATAAATAAAATGATAGAGGTTTGCGTACAACTGCAATGCGTAGCACGGAAAAACTACTGGATAGATTTCAATTAGATTTTCTAAGTTTTATTTCTTAGACACTTGGCCCTTATCTATAAAGAATATTGCGATATCTCCATTTATGTATATAAAGTTATTAAAGTTTTAAGAAACAACTATTTTTATAAGCGCTACGTGTTCAGTAATGTGTGTTTTCTTTGTTAATATATCAAGCAACGCGGACGAACTCGCGGCTATCAGATAGTTACCAATAAAAGCTATACTCGTTGCAGGTAATCCTATTCACAAAACTTTCAAAGCAAATTTGTCTCCATCAGTTCCAGAAAACCTTATCACAGACCCATCCAAACATTCCGAAATTCAGGTTTTAGAAAACCGTGCTGTGATATGTGAAGAACTTCTCCTAATTAAAGTTCAACCTAGTCAATGTAATACACAAACGCGGAAAAAGATAATACAAGACGCTGTAGTGATAACACATGACAATGTGCTGCGCCATAAAATGGAAGAAAAATTTAAAAAAAATTAAAAAAGAAAAGAAAACTATAAACAAAAGAGAAAGTGATACAAAAAAAAAGAGAAAAAATGTGAGTAAACTACAAGCTTACAGAAAACAAAGACAAAACCACGGAAAGCAAAAACACAAACTTCAAAAAGGAATCAAGTATCCTCAAGCGAAAGTGAAATATCAAAACCTTATGACTACGATAGTGAGTATGAAAACGTAGAAGATTTTCAAAAAGGCGCAAATACTTTGACTTCCTCAGCTGACGAACTGGAACAAAAATATTCAAGATGCCTTTGACAGACAAACACTATCTCCTTTTCCACCACTGAAGATTTCAGACGTTCAAGCTGGTCAAAGTAAAACACAAAAGCTGAAAATGACGTTGCGCTGCGCAGTAAAATTTTTTAAACAATTTAATTTGTTTTTACTTCACCATCGGCCACATTTGTCGGGGATGTAAACTTAAAACAAGGTGCTACGTAAATAAAAAGCAATTTCAGTTTTTTCAATTTGGTTTTAATGTTATAAAATTAATAAGTACACGTGAAAACATCATTCACTCATTCAATTTCACATTTTACAAAAATATTATTACTTAGTATGAATATACAAAATGATCGACAATACTAAAGTAAAAATAATACTTAGGTATTAAAATTAAAATCGATCAAAATCCTTAAAATAAAAAAAATGCGTGAGTATCGTGGAACACTCGGTTAGAACGAAGTTCCTTTCGTAGTATATTATTATTGATAAACGAATTATATTATGGATTATCAAATACAAATAAATGAATTATGTACTAGCGTCTATTAAAATGAAGCGTTTTCGTGGCAAGATAAGAAAAAGTGCTAAGGAGATGGATATTATTCCATCACGCTCGCACTATAGACAGGGGGTCGTGACGGCATAATCTTACACTTTTTTTCGCCTAGCCCACATCCGTCAAATTCGTACCGTGCGATAAGGAACTTCGTTCCAAAAACATAGTCTTTCCGCGGACGACTTTTTAAGCCCGTGAAACATTTACATTTTTATCATTTATCTATTCATATATATATATATATATATATATCTATTTATAACAGCTATTCAAAAATAAACTGCGGAACATAAGGCCTATCTCATAAATTGCTCACTGTCCCATGTCCTTCAATATTTGCCATACTTGCCGCGCATGAAAGGCGGGTTTGTAACCGCAGTTTTTTTTTAAATTATTTTAAGCTTGTATCAGGAAAATGCTTTATCCCGCCTCCTGTTTAACTTCCTTCTGTCCTCTCTTACGACATTCACGAAATGATATGTGATAGTAAATTCTCTTACGCTGCCAGTATACGGCGTTTTTATACATTGTCGACTATTTCAGGACCTTATCGCTATACAAGCGAGTATGACAAACGAGCACACAGTCCACCTGATGGTAGGTGGATGATGTTGCCCACAGACACCTACAGCTTTTAACATTTATACGTGGTAGACCATGCTGCAGCTATATTAATAGTATAGTTGTAGCATGAATAGCTCGGCTCGACCGGGTAAGGACTACGCTCTCACAGAATACCAGCGTAAAATAGCAGCTTAATGCTGCTGCGTTTCGTATGGTGAGTATAGAGAACCTGACACCCTTTTTACTGGAAAAGAGGCATTCTATCTTAGTCCTCACGGCTGATAACGCATCTGCATTTTAATTCGCAAACGAAGATAGTTGTAGATGTCTATGGGTCACAGCAACCACTTACGATCAGGTGGACTGTGTGCTCGTTTGTCACCCTTATTCTATAAAAAAAAAGCTATCATCGGTCATAAATCAATATCCAGATGCATTGTCACCCCGGAGTTAAGATGGTCTCGTTAACAACAAGAACTAAAATTGCTAAGTACGAGTACTTATGTTTCAACTTACAAAATAACCTATAAGCACATGAGTAACGAAACCGTACCGTACTATAAGGTAGATAAACATCTATTCTAATAAATTAAATTGAAGTGTCTGTTTGTAATGTTAATATAACAATTTTTACTAAACGCTTAATTATGCAAGTTTATACGGTGTTTATAACAAAAAAAAAAACACTTTTTTAAATTTTTGTCTATCTGTCTGTTTGTTACGGCTAATCTCCGAAACGGCAGGACCGATTTTGACGGGAATTTCACTGGCAGATATCTGATGTTATAAGGAGTAATATATGCGTGAAAAAATAAAACCATGAAATCCAATTGTAATAAATAAAACGGGGTGAAGTCGCGGGGAAAAGCTAGTCAATAAATAAAACGGCACATAGATTAACTAAACGTTACTTCCGTTCGAACAACACTTCGAAGAGTTCCATCTTAATAGAAACTGCGTTTTCTAGTAAGACAAAGAATTTAACTCACAAATTTAAAATTAAAGTTCCGTAATATACGCTGTGATGCATATCGACGCTTGAAAGGCTTTTTGTTGCTGGCAACTTTACACTAGAGCATATTAAAGAGTTTTATTTGGAAAAAAAATCGTAAAAGTCGCCTATTAGTCGTAACTCCATATCAACGAATTTTAGATGCACAAAGGCTTTATAAACTGGCATTTAGAGATTATGAATTTTCTTCATATTTTCTTCATATTTATTAATGTCGGTTAGTAATAATTTCATCAAAATAATAAATAACAAAAAGTTACTTACCGACATCAAAATTTTATTATAAAACAAGTAAAATTAACTATACCTCATTATATTATAATTGTGTTTGAAGAAAAATTACGCATCCAGAAGTAGGTAACGCATGTTTGACATATAGGTAAAATGATCTAAATAGAAATTAAAAAACTTTTCTGCCAGGCAATTTTAATCATAGTACAAATTAAATAAGGTTAGTGTAGGAAAGAGAAACACAAACTTCTTTATTCAATATAGATTATAAATAATACTTATTGAAATTGAAAGTCACTCTTTTGTTTGTTTACCACTGGTTCGAAAAAAGCCTCTGTCCTGGGAAGAACCAGCAAGAAACCCAGCGGGACTTTTTTTTTAAATAACAGCATACAATCATGTATGTTACACAATTAACTACACAAAACAAATTAGAAATAGCTTGGTAACGATCGCCTCATTCCCAGGTGTTATTATCATCCATAAATTCCTTAATATTATAATAACCCTTTTTATACAAACTTAGTTTAATAAAGTTTTTGAACTTTGAGCAGATCTAATTTTGGATATTTTCTGGGATTTTGTTGTAAAAACATATACATTGCCCCAAGAATGAATTACTGAATTGATGGAGTCGAGTAACTGGTACTACTAGGTTGTGTTGTGAATTAGAACATAATCTACCACGCTGCTCTATTGCGGGTTTATGGAGACTTTAGGCCAGTGACTAACCCTTTGTTAATGACGTCTAGATAGACCTGTAACATATGAATATTGCAGACAAATCTCTCGCAAAGTTTGTGGGCTGTCGTTGAATATTTACGATAGCTTAAATCAACTTTTTTGTAGAAACTAAAATAATTACTATTATACTGATAGATACTTCTTGTACTATTATTTATTCTGTGCTATTACTAAAACAAGTAATTTCAAAATCAATACAGGTAAATACAATTTCAACTAAGAAGAAAATTGCTATCAAACTTTTTAAATATTCTAAAATCACAAAAAAATTTTAACAAACTCCTAGCAGTACGAGAGTATGAGATATCGACGCAGAATTTTTTCGCTGATTTTAATGATCTATCTATCTCAATATCGCCCAACATGTCACTTCGTAATTACTGCCTTTCAAGCGTCGATATGTATAGTCTGTTCGCTCAAGTCTCGGTACACCCGGAGGCGCACTTATTATTTTGCTTTTATTTTATTATATTTTACTGTGTTTTTTAAATAAATGTTTTTTCTACTCTAAGAATAAAATAGAATATTATTATGTTCTTATGGTTATTGTAATAAAATACTAATATAAATAATAAATACAAGTTAGGTAGTAAGGAACCTCTCACTACGGTGCTTCGTTTTAAAGTGCCAAATTTACCTGCGGCTTTACGCCGCTTGCACCAACCTTTGATGTCACGGCGGCGGCGCCTTTGACAAGATGCGGTACGTGCCGTGGCGGCGCGACACAAAGGCGACCGTATCTAAGCGAACAGACCAACAAACTCGCATCAATAGACACCAATGTTGCTGAGTATGTGCGTGAGGATCATCTGGTGAACGTCGCGAAAGACGGTGCGCACGTTATCTGTGTCAGTAGCAGTGGTGAAGTGGAAGTAACATTCACGCGCGCGACTCGCCTCCAGGACCACGAATCTCTCTGCAGACGCAATCACCTCGCGACGTTCCCGCTTCTTATTCGTCAGGTTCTGGAAAAGGATTCGGATGAGCACTTCGATTATATTAAGGATTTGGAAATAATAAAGAAAAAAATACAATGCATATATATGCAATGGACATAAACTTTTATTTAATAGGATAGGGTGACAAACGACCACACAGTCCACCCGATGGTAAGTGGTTGCTGTGGCCCATAGATATCTACATCTATCCTCGTTTGTGATTCAAAATGCAAATGCGTTGTCACCCGTGAGGACTAAGATGGAATGCCTCTTTTCCACTAAAAAAGATCTCCGGTTCTCTACACTCACCATACGAAACATAGCAGTGTTAGGCTGCTATTTTACGCTGATATTCTGTGAGAGCGTGGTCCTACCCCGGTCGAGCCGACCCGTACGTGCTACAACTACAACTATACTACTAATATAGCGGTAGCATGACGCTACCACGTATGAAATTATCACAATTCAATATCTTTAAATAATTTGTTTTATTTCAAGTTGCATAGACTCTAGGTACAGAGGTGTTATTTAAGCAAGTAAACATTAACTATGCATTAATTGCTCGGTTGGAACACATAAACGAACAAAATATCTGGACCGACATGTGGAGTGGACTGCCGACCGAAATTATTCCTAAAGTCATTTCTAGGCCCGGTCAGCCTCCCCGGTCATATGCGGCGACTAGGACTTCGTTATGGACGGATGGTCCCCGGTTATTTTTCCCTTTGCCCCTAATCCTTGGCCATATGGTCTCCCCGTTTCCTCTGCCGAGGGCTTCGTTCTGGTTTGGCTCAATCTATTTATTAATTTTCTTATACTTATTATAAGCCAGTGCTTGACCACAATCCCACCTGGTGGTAAGTAGTGATACAGCTCTAGATGGTAAATCGCACTGTCGTAGCGTAACAAAATCCTGTATACTCTTGCCTTGAAGACGAACGAAAGATAGCCGTGTTAAATTATTCCACTCATTTGCTGTACGCATTACAAAAGACGAAACAAACCGATTGGTTCTAATGCGTGGAATATCGACAACAAAGGGTGAAGACCCGCCGACCGCCTGGTTGTCCGATGGTGGAAAGGAGAGGGTGGAAGCGTTTAATTCCTGCGCACACTCGGCGAAATGCATCCAATGAATACCGAGAGGCTGGCTACTCTGCGCCTGTACTTGAGGCTGACAAGATTGGTTTCAACCAAAGCAAGGTCACAGCCTCTTAGCACGTATCTCCACTGAGTCCAACGCCAGCCCATATGTGACAGCAGTACTCCATGCATTTAGTACTTTATATAACGTAAGAAGCTGCCCCGGCGTGAAGTACCGCCGCACCCTTACAAGGACACCAAGTTTCCTTGAGTCTGCTTTGGCTCTGGATCCAATGAACCACCCATAGTTGAGGTTCGGAGAAAATTCAACCCCTAACACCAGAAGGCGGACAGTGTACTTCAAGGATACATTCCCGAAAGTAGGAACCAAGGTGAGCGGGCTCCTTTTAGCGGTGACGACGAAAAGACACGCCTGTATTTTAGAGGCGTTGAATCTCACGAGATTGATATCGCCCCTTTCGGAGATTGCCTGTAGTGTGAGATTTACACGCTCAACCATAGCCTCTCGTTCGGACTGGATTTCTTCCCGACTGGCTCGGCAATTGGTTGCTATCTCCTCACAACTATGCTGTCGTCTGCATACCCATAGATACGGGGAAAGAGCAGATCATTTATATGCAGCAGGAAGAGAGTTGCGGCGAGAACTGACCCCTGAGGAATCCCGGCGTTTGTCGCGATAGGATAGGACGAGCCGCCATCGATGACGACTCGGAGAAATTATTCACTCAGAAAATCCTTCACCCAGGCAATCAGGCTAGGGGATAAGCCGTACGCTGAAAGGGTGTCAAACCCTGTCAAAAGTCATCGAAAAATCAAGTGAAACAGCAAGTGATTCACCACTGTTCTCGAGGGCTTCGCTCCATATGTGAGTGGTATACGCTAGAAGGTCCCCAGTTGATCGATTTCGGCGAAACCCGTACTGGCGATCACTGAGGAGATCATTTTGTTCTAGGTATGCCATGAGGTGAGCGTTCAATATACGGTCCATAATCTTGCAAAGTATGGAGGTAATTGAAATTGGCCGATAGTTGGCAGGGTCGGTACGGCTACATTTTGTAGGCACAGGCTGCACATTGGCCAGCTTCCAAAATTTGGACACTATTCCAGTCCTAAATGAGAGGTCGAATAAGCGCGTCAACACAGGAGACAACTCAGGTGCACAGACCTTTAGAACTATAGCTGATATACCATCAGGTCCACTAGCTATGATCACGTCTAGACTTCGCAAGGGTTTAAGAACCTCCTTGTTGATGATACGGACTTCTGACATAGAGGTACCGCAGTGAGGTAATTGAGATGGTACGCTGTTGCTACTGGCCAGACGCGAATTGCTCAGAAGTAAATAAGTCCGCTTTCTTCTTAGGCGCATGCGTCAGTGAGCCATCTGGTTTTACCAGCGGAGGCAGTGTAGACCGACAGAAGTTTCTCTCGACCGCTTTGGCGAGAGAACAAAAAGCTCTACTGCCAGATGTTTAGACAGAGAGCTTTGTACCGATGCGTTTAATGCGGTCAAAACTGGCTTACCGTAATGCAATTTTGCAGGACCTGGCTGCTTGGTTAAAGGCTCTCCACTTAAGGCTAATATCCAGAGATTTACGGTTTCGAGCATCCCAGGATAAGTACGCCATATGCTTGTGCTTTTCAGTAGGAACGCACTCGGCTTTGAGCCATGGGTGAGATTTACCGTCAATGGGCACATCAGCAAAGGGGATGAAATACTCCATCGCTTGACGTATCACGCCACACTCGCCGCACACCGTAGAAATCGTAGTTAGGTGGGGAATATAATGACACAGATTTCACTTGATAGTGGACAGAAGTTCCCAAGGGTGAGGTAACCTAAACATCGTACCTGTCTGGATCGGCTAGTTGCTTGTTGTACCAGCTGGGACAGCCCCAGCGACAAAGCAATTTTCCACACGTCTCTCCCAGCGTGGTCGGTCTTCTGGTATGGAAACAACCAGTCCTGATGACAGGCATTACAGTGCCCCAGAAAAACCAACTGTGCAATAGTGTACCGATTTAGAGCCACAACAGAGACTTCGCTGAGGTGTTCAAATAACCTAATTGTCTCCTGGTCACCGCTGTGCGATCGGTAGATACAAGAATAAATAATTTTATTCATTGTTGTGTCTATCAATACCCAGATCGTAGAGAAAGTGGAGTCTTCAAGGTGACGGAGACGCTTACAGCAGATGTCGTTCCGGACGCAAACTCAGACGCCGGCGCGCTGTTGGAAATTATGCTCCAATACACATTGGTATACACATTGGGTACACACCCAGAGTAGCCAAGGTACGCCGTATCTAGAGGACATCTGTTCTGCGGCTCAGTCAAGAAGAGTAAGTGCGGCTTGTCAGTCTCAAGGTGGTAGTGGACTGCATTGAGATTACAGTGCAGACCTCGGATGTTTGTGAGATGCACTTTGATGGAGAGAGAGTGCAACCGCTGTACAAACTTACTCTTCTTTTTTCTTTTTGTAATAAATGGTGGAGTAAATAGGTTGAGAGAATGGCAGTTGGACGAGGCGTCACACATATAACCTAGGGACGCAAACAGAGTCCTAGCATCGATGGTACCTAGCATGGAGATCGCGGAGACGCCTGAACCCCCCTGGAAATCACAACAAGGCCAACTCCTCCGGTCACCAACCGGCATGGTGGAGCCACGTTATTTGAAATTATCCCAAATTGAATATGATTTATGGGCTACAACGTTCTTGCCTACCGACCGACACATATTTTGAATTTAAAAGATAAAAAGGACAGAATGTTTGAGATTTTTTTTTATAAATTTTTCTTCACCATTTGCCTATATTACAAATTTTGAACCTTCTCTACAAATTTGAATATAACACTGTAAGTATTTATGCATCCCAACCGGACGAGAAAATAATAGAAATATAATAATAATAATCACGATGATCACGATAGAGATATAATGTGATGATGACTATTACGCCATCACAACATTATAAATAGCTAAGTATCTACTAACCGCAAAAAGACTTCTAATAAATAACTTGGTCCTCGTATATTCGTCTCCGGGAGCCTCAAAGTGGTTGTACTTTGGGAAATATGGCGCTATACTCCTGCCCTGCTTGATCTTAGTCTCCAGAAGGTCCTGCTTGTTGAGGAACACAATCAGTCCTGCCTCGAGGAGAAATCTGAAACAATTGCTTACAGTGACTAACTAGTAGTAGCTCAGGATAAGGGTTTGTCTTACAATTTCATAAAACGCAAGCAAGCTGACTACCGGCTCCATAAGCCTTCCATTAATACAGCTGTTTACTCTACTTCCTACATACATGGCGAGCATATAAATGCTGCTATTCTTCCTATACTACGTCGATGCAGTTGTCCAGCCATTCAAATCTTTTTTTATTATAATTTTTTTCCTTTTAGAAAAACTTTACCTCCACATTAGGATTTTCTCCTGTATTCTCTACGTGGTAGAGCCATGCTGCAGCTATATTATGATTGTAGCACGAATGGGTCGGCTCGACCGAGGAAGGACCACGCTCTCACAGAAAACCAGCGTAAAATAGCAGCTTAACGCTGCTGTGTTTCGTATGGTGAGTGTAGAGAACCGGAGACTCTTTTTACCGGCAAAGAGGCATTCCATCTTAGTCCTCACGGGTGACAACGCATCTGCATCTTGAGTCTTTATTGAGGATAGATGTAGATGTCTATGGGTCACAGTAACCACTTACCATCAGGTGGACTGTGTGCTCGTTTGTCACCCGAACCTATAAAAAAAATCGTGGTTCGGATGTGTTTACATACATAAATTTCACAAGGACAAACATATTACGTGATATACGGGGGTGGGGGGCACATTACAAAGATGAATGTTTTATTTGTAGTTTTCTAGAATCATAACTTACTTGTCAACTCTTAACTAGCTATAACGCACCCATTTCAGTCAATTATGATAATCTACAATATACCTCAAGCATGTCTTACCAGGTCGTCACTTCATCTGGAGGGCCGCTCCACACTTCGCCTACCGGTACGAGGCTGCCACTCAAGAACCTTTTTTCCCCATCAGTTATCGGTTCTTCGAGTTATATGGCCACTCCATTGCCATTTCAGCTTACTGATCCGTTGGGTTATATTGGATACTCTAGTTCTACTGCAGATATCATCATTTCTATATTTATCACGCAAAAAAACCTCTCCATAGCTCGCTGAGCGACCTTGAGCTTCCTTAAACGGTCAGCAGTGAAGGACTAAGTCTCAGATCCATAAATCACACAGAAAGTCGATGGATGCAGGTGGTTCAAGACTGTGCTTTGTGGCATTCCTTGGGGGAGGCCTATGTTCAGCAGTGATGATGATACCTTAAGCATAAAGTTTGAGGTGCATGCCCAGCTGTTTGACGTATATAGGTTGTAAAGTTATATTTAGCTGACTTCAAAAGGAAGTAGTCCTCAATTCGAATGTATTTTTTTTGTCTTTTGTCCGATGTGACTACCTATTTAAATTTGAAGACAATATTCCACTTTTATGGGTGGAAAAATAAGGGTTATAATTATATATATATAGATAAGACGACATTTTTAATCAAATGTGACAATAATTTAAACTTTCAATCAAAGTAAAGAATCGACTTTTTCCTTTATAAAAGGTTTAATTTCAACTTAACATGCACTGCACGTAGTTGCGATGTAAGAATATCCACTACCCCATATCATCCCGTGGGTGTCTCAAGTGGCGACAGAGGGGAAACTGTTCCAGGAGATGGCCAGCAGCATCTTCCTGATAACAGCTAAATAAAATAAAAACTGCAGTTGCCAATCCGTTTGCTAAGCGTGGCAACTATAGCAATCCAATAGATTGCCTCATAGATACCCCCATCTATGAGGCAATCTATTGGAGGCAAATCCCAACCCAAGGATACAACTGCAAGATTTCATGATACTGTAAGTTCATACTGCGTAGATCGGAACAAAAATTAATAATTTTTAATCTGGAGGTAGCCTTGGTTAACTATTACATTGGGACGTTATACACTTCAGTCCCCCCCATGACCATGGGTGCTGTAAAGTGCTTGAAACGTCGGGAATATAAAATAAGTTAATATACGCGATAAAATCCGTAAAATTAGTTTTATTTAAATATTGGAGACAGTTTAGCAGTGGACTTTTGATGGCCTGTAATATTATGCACTGCAAGGATAACAACTACTGCTGTAAAACCTGCTTTGCCAGACATCCTCGAACAGGATAAGCGCTTCTTTAAGTCGGTTCTGAGAGTTGTCCTCCCTCAACGTCTGGTCGAAGTCGCTGCACGCCACCACGAACCAGATTGCGTGGATCCCTTCAAATACCTGTAATTTACGCTTTATTGTATTTAAATACTGCACAGTATACATCTGGGATTGGAGATCTTGGCTTACTAAAATGGCTCTAGGCTGTGAACGTATCAGGCACGAAAAAAACAACGTGTTATAATAATATGAATAAAATAATATACATTGGACTGTGATGCCACGACCATTATGCCCTTTCTATCGGTAGTAGTATATGTTCTACTGACTTCAAACAGGAGGAGGTACTCATTTTTTTTTATAGGATAAGGGTGACAAACGAGCACACAGTCCACCTGATGGTAAGTGGTTGCTGCGGCCCATAGACATCTACATCTATTCTCTATTACAAATCAAAATGTAGATGCGTTGTCACACGTGAGGACTAAGATGGAATGCCTCATTTCCAGTTAAAAGGGCCTCCGGCCACCTGCACTCACCAAGCGAAACGCAGAGGTAAACCGCTACTTCACACTGGTTTTCTGTGAGGTCGTGGTACCACCCCGGTTCGTGCCGGCCCAACCATGCGACAGCAAAAGCTGTCGCGTGGCTCTACCACTGTTAAATTGTTTAAAATGATTTCGATGATTGTTTTTTATTTGAAAGCTGGTGCTTCATATGTGGTCCCATATAAATTTGATCAAGGTCTGACTAATAGTTTTTGAGTTATTCTTAATAATTTATATTGAAGTCGGTTGTACAACCTTTTCAATTTTAAATAATGTTGAGACGGACACGTCAGGAGGAGCTTCGTTGTTGAGTATGTTGTTATGAATGCTATTTTTTTTTCAAAGAACTTTAATGACCAACGAACATACAGTCCACTGAGTGACTGCTATTGCAGCCTATGAACACTTGCAACTAACTTCAAACCAAGAAGGGTACAGATACATTGTCGCCTCTGAGGAGTAAGGTGGAATACCTCACAGGCTGTAATTATACTGGCTCTCGATTCTATTTCGACTTAATGTATTGAAAGCGCTGCTATTTACAGTTCAGCCTACTAAAAGTCCACCTCTGAACTAGGATTGTTGCGGCATTTATGGCATCGGATGCTGAGTTTTAGAGGCTCACATCACTCATACACGTTTTTAAGGAAGCAATGAAAAATAACGGACTTCAATCAAACTCAACATCAAAAACTACTATAAAAACCTGCAAGTGCCTCGGTCAGATAAAACAAATGTTAGATCTTGTCACCAGCGTGTGCATTCTCATTTAATGATCGTATCGTGACTTGCTCCACATCTGGATCCGCATTAAATATCCACATTGGTTTATGCGGATGTGGATGCATTTGCGGATGCGGATTCGAACATCCACAACATTCCTGCTCTGAACATAGGCCTCCCCCACACATCATAGTTATCAAGCTTGGCAACCGCGAGCATCTTTTTTTGTAGGAGAGGGGGCAAACGAGCATGCGGCTCACCTGATGGTAAGTGACTACCGCCGCCCATGAACAACCGCAACACCAGGGGACTTGCAGATGCGTTGCCGGCCTTTTAAAAAGGAGTAGCCTCTTTTCTTGAAGGTCCCTAAGTCGTATCGGTCCGGAAAAATCGCTGGTGGTAATCGATTCCACAAGGAAGTCGTGCGAGGAAGAAAACATCATCTAAATCGCACAGTGGTGGATGACAATGTAATGATGATACATGATATTTTAACATATAAATTATTCAAAACTAAGTTGAATACTCATAATATATTGGAAACTTTAGAGATTTATTAATATGACATCCGTGAGGTTTTGAATTTGAGAGAATTCTAGAATCTCTTACCTTCACAATTTTGGATTAAATTCTCTCAAATTCATTTATTGCAGGTATGTTTGGCGAAAACGGGTCGGTTTTATAGTAAATAAATTAATAATTTATAATAAATATTATGAAGCAAGTACCTACAAGTACTTAACCAAAGCACAAAAATAAAGATGAAGTTTCACTAAGTGACAACAATCGCAAATCTGAATTATGACTACAATCCTACCTAGTGGTAATTGGTGACGAAGACCTAGATAGTAAATCGCATTGTCTTAGCGTAACAAATAACAAAAGTTATGTAACATTGTAGTGGGTGGACCCTAATCCCTCCGATTGAACTACTGAGCGGAAGAACCATTTGTGTGTTTTTGCTAGGATTCGATGTAACAAGAGACTCACTTGTATCCACTTCTTCCTCTCTCCCCTCTGCCCGCCTACGTCAAACATCCAGAACTCCTGAATGCCACCATGGACTGACTTCGGCACCTGTAACAAATGGATTTAAAATTCTAAAGGTGGTATTTTTTTCATCAATCTATATCTGTACAAATAAATAAAATTGAAGTATCTGTTTGTAATGTCAAAATAACAGGTTTTTACTAAATGCATATGAAAGTATATACGGTAGGTACTTATAACAAAAACACAATTTTTAAAAATTTTGTCTGTCTGTCTGTCTGTCTGTTTGTTCCTGCTAATCTCCGAAACGGCTGGACCGATTTCGACGGGACTTTCACTGGCCGATAGCTGACGTTATAAGGAGTAACTTAGGCTATTTTTGTTTTTGAAAAAGAACTAGGGTTCCGCGCAATAAAAAATTAAAACTCATCAAATCCAATCATAATAAAATTCACGCGGGAGAAGTCGCGAGGAACAAACAGCTAGGTAGTGAAATAAAATATAAAAGACGTTCGAAATTAGAGAAAAAAAAATTGGTGACTAAAAATTTTTTTAAAAGAGTAACAAACAAGCAGACAGTCCACATGGTTGTAAGTGAATGCTGTGGCCCATAGACATCTAAATCTATCCTCGATTAAGTATCAAAATCTAGAATTACATTGTCACATTTGAAGACTAAGGTGTGTAACTTAACTAACGAAACAGTAGCATTAAGCTGCTATTTCACGCTGGCATTCTGTACTCGTAAGAGCGTGGTCCCTTGGTCGAGCCGACCTGTTCGTGCTACAATCATATACTTAAACATCCATACAAATATAAAAAGGAACATGTACTCTAGTTATATGTAATATTATTTATTATTATATACTACAGGATATTGTTTATTTTTATTTTATTTTTGTATAGAAAAAATACTAGTAATGCTATTAAATATTACAAATATTCCCTTTAACCACTCCCGGTAAGCTTAAAATGCTTGTGTTAAGTGGTTCACGACAGTAGTCGAATGGCGGATTCGAACCCACGACCTTTCGAGTTCGCGGGAAGTTCGTTGAAGGGAGGTTAACCTTAACCGACTCATAGGCAGACGGGATAAAAATATGGATATTATTTTTTTTATGTAAGGCAGTGTCTCAATACCCTACATCGTCCCGTCAGTGTCGTAAGAGGCAACCCGCGGTTGCCAACCCACTTGCCAAGCGTGCCAACTATGGCAAATACAGCTATGGACTTTTGATAGGCTGTAACGTTAAAAAAGCGCTATCGGGTGTAACTTTATTGAATTATTCTGAACTGTATTATACAAAACTTTATCACATTTCTTTACTAAGTACATCTAGATGTGACTAATAACACTACCTTAACTTTGAACTCGATTTTCTGGATGCCGGTGGTTTTCCGTCGACACCTCAATATGTCGGCGTCCGAAGGTACGTAGTCTTCTTTCCCAATTAGGTCTATCCTGTCTAAGAAACTGAAAATAAATATTAAAAGAGAATCTTACGGATTTTATCGCGTATATTAACTTATTTTACATTCCCGACGTTTCAAGCACTTTACAGCACCCATGGTCACGGGGGGGACTGAGGTGTATGACGTCCCAATGTCATAGTTAACCACGTAGGATATTAACATCAGCTGATGTGAAGAATAGACGCTCCGGGAAGTCTGCAGTCTGTGAACACGTACAGGACTCCGTCACTACATTAGATTTGATAGACCACAAATCCTCGCTAAAGAACACCGATTCCTTCCAAGGATGATTCGCGAGGCTATTGAAATCAAGAAACATCCTAATTTCAATAGAGAAGATGGCTGGGTGCTACCATCTGCTTGGGATCCCATAATTAATAAAATTAAATCCCAACCCAAGCATACAACTGCAAGACTTTATGATACTGTAAGTTCATACTGCGTAGATCGGAGCAAAAATTAATAATTTTTAATCTGGAGGTAGCGGTGGTTAACTATGACATTGGGACGTCATACACCTCAGTCCCCCCCGTGACCATGGGTGCTGTAAAGTGCTTGAAACGTCGGGAATGTAAAATAAGTTAATATACGCGATAAAATCCGTAAAATTAGTTTTATTTAAAAATGTGTAGTGTTCGCGTAAACATAAGAAATCATTATAAAAGAGAATCTGCCTGAAGTGTTTAAATTTCTAGGTACACTGGCGCAGTATACGGCCAGATATCAGAGATGTTATACAGGTAATTTATTGCAGACTATTGTGTCTCTCAAATACACTATTGTGTCATAAAGAGTAGAGAGATCTACTCTTTATGCTGACTCCAAATAACTTGGGATAAGGGCAGGAAGAAGAAGAAGCGTCTTTCTTTCTAGTCTTTCTCATAATATCTTTTTACTAGAGTCAGTTTCAGCAGTGTAGAGGGAGCTAGGCGATACAAGTCTCGGCCCCACTCTCTTTTTGCTTCCTAAATCATGCAATAACGTGTTTTTCTCAGATCGCAGAATTTTTAATTTAAAGAATTTTTTATGCACACTCTATTCTCGAAATTTTATAGGCCGAAGGCAACCGACACGACCGAAGTGTAAGTGGTTGGTGTGACCCATAGACATCTACATCTATCCTCAAGAAAAAATCAAAATGCAGATACGTTGTCACCCGTGAGGACTAAGATAGAATGCCTATTTTCCAGTAAAATGGGTCTCCGGTTCTCTACACTCACCATACAAACCGTTCTCTACAAACACAGTAGTCAAACTTCCATTTTACGCTGGTGTTCTGTGAGAGCGTAGTCCTTCCCGGGTCGATCCGATTCATTCGTGCCACAATTATACTACTAATATAGCTACAGCATGGCTCTACCACGTATAAAGGAAAAACCTAATAACTGGTTTTGGACCACATGATCAATAATTACACTTACGAGCATTAAACTAAAGAGACACTACTTATTAGAAGAAGCATCTATCCGCAGTGGACTGCTAACTCACGAGCTAGTAACAATTTTGCAACAGTTTAATACTTACTATTCAGCACTGTCAATCAGTTGATACTCGTTGGATCTTTTGAAGCATTCCCGCACTCCGCCATCTTGCCATAAGTCTCGTACGTTGTCGAAATATTCCTGCAAATAAATACAATCAATAATAATAATAATATAATAATAATAATTTATTTATTGGTAAAAGTACATGTTTTACAGAGTGTGTGGGCCTTATCCATTTAAGTTTAAATAAACTTGTCATAGGATAAAGCGCTCTTCAAGTTTGTAATAATTCATACATGTATATTAACAATTTTTTTTAAATTCCTAGAACTCGGCAACGGAGTGACATCCAAAAAGTAAATTATAGTAAATCATCTACATCTAAAAAAAAAAACTAAAAAACATAACAAATCTTATCTAATTTAAATTCGGTCATCAAGATGTCATACCAAATTTTCAGTCTTAAGGTAATCCAATTGCTTCAGCCAAGCAATTAACGTTCTTTTGCATTCCAGAAATGACATGTTATAAATGTGTAGTACTCTATTTATTTTGTTATATAAAATTATTGATTTTGAGCAGTATTGATTTTGTGCAAAAACGGTTTTAGATATTTTATTTCGAATAACACAGTATGGATTTCGTTTAGCATTGATTTTATCATCAGGAGTATTGGTTTTATGAGTTTTTAGTACACACAGTAAGATATAAAGCTGTCTTACGGTAAGAACATTACAATCATCATATACTTTCACGGTGCTGTATGTAATTTTTTTCATTAGTATAACTTTCAAGATCGATCTTTGAGCACGTTCAAGCTGAATTAATTTCGTTTTGTGCGTTCCACCCCAAATAGGCAAACAGTAACTGATGATCGACTGCACTAAAGTTTTATATATATGAATCAGAAGTTGTCTGTCCGCAACATATCTAAGATATTTAAATAACCATATCAATTTTCTAAGTCTTGATGTACAATTTTCAATTTGTCTTTGCCAATTTAATTGCTGGTCTATATATATACCAAGATATTTAACGGAAGAGACCTTTTCTAAAGCGCTACACTCGCATATGAGAGAGTTTTTGCTACAAGTGTGGGCCGTTAGTTGTAGATTAGAAGGAGGTTGTAGAGAGTTAAGAATTGAGAATGTAATGTAGCAAGTTTTATTAATATTTAAAGATAATAGATTGTTTTTAACCATTTAGTTACTATTTGAAGGCCCTTCTCTGCTATGTTATATACATCCTGCCAGCTTTCTCTATGGAAGAGAAGGGCTGTATCATCAGCGTAGGAAATGATTGTGCCCTTTTCAAGTTTTATAAGACTAAGGTCATTAATATAGATAAGAAACAAGGTAGGGCCAAGTACGCTACCTTGTGGGACGCCATATAGAGATGTAGGCTCAACTGAACTGTAAACGAGATCATCAAGTTTTACCTGTTGGGCTCTCTTATTAAGGTAGTCAGTCAGTGAGAAGGGTGTGAAATGGACCACGTATTCCAAGTCGAAACAGTTTCTCTATAAGAATGGGGATAGAGACAGTGTCAAAGGCTTTTTTTAAGTCTAAAAATACACAAAGGGTTTTTAATTTGTTATTACTTAAGTCGAATATTTTGCTGGTCAGAGAAAGAACAGCATCTTCTGTGTTTTTCTTCTACCGAAAGCCAAACTGAGAAGCAGAGATAATGTCATATTTATTCAGAAAATTTAAGAGACGTTTGTTTATTAGTTTTTCAAAAATTTTGGAAAGGGCACTAAGTATTGAAATAGGCCTGTAATTATTTAAGTCGTCTCTTTCCTCACTCTTATAGATAGGATGGATTATGGCACGTTTGAAAACCTGGGGAAAAACTCCTTTGGTGAAGCAAAGAGAGAACAAATGATGTAAGATAGGGATGAGTTCTAATTTCGCCATTTTTATAAATCTTGTGGGTATTTTATCCCAACCACAGGCGGAATCGGACTTCAGATTCATAATAATCATTTCAATCTCGGACAGATCTGGTTCAACAATACCAATCGAGTTTGTAACAGCTGGAAAAGAGTTGAATGATTCTTTGTAGTCATTTGTGTTCGGGGCAGGTGATATTTCCTCAGCAAGTGTTTTGCCTACATAAATAAAATGGCTGTTAATTAAGTTCGCCGACTCTATAGCTGAACCTGTAATATTAATTAAATCTTCATTTTTTGATTTTGTCGAGTTTAAGTTTGTTATAGTTTTTATGGTGTTCCATAAAAGTTTGTTATTATTTTTAGTTTTAAGTAATTGTTCCCTTTCGTATTGTGGTCTTAATTTTTTGAGCATGTTGTTACAATAGTTGCGATATCTTCTGTAGGTTATTTGTAAAATTGTGTTTGTTGAGTCCTGTTTTAGTTGTTTTTGAAGTTTGTTTCTGTTGTTAATGCATCTTAGCATACCGGGTGTAATCCAAGGTTTTAATAGTCTTTTATTGCGAGGTACATTGATGGTTTTGGTATTTTGTGTCAGAGATGTGGATATAACATTTACAATTTCCCGAGCTAAATCCTCCGGCTGATCAATTGACAACAGTTCAGAGGCTTTATGTTCACGCAAAGTAGCAAGTGCTCCCGGATAGTCTATAATGGTTTTCGCAATGTTACGCGATACCTGTTTTGTATTAGAATGAATATAAATTAATGTCATTAGATGGTCTGTTATGGTCAATTCTAATACGGCTATTGTGGCTGAGAGTTTAGTAGGGTCTATGTTAGCAATAACGTGGTCTATACAACTATTAACTCTTGTGTTATATCTATGTCCAGGTACTAGGCCATGGTTTGAGAGCATTTCTAGGTAGTTGGTACCACGATAATCCATCGTTTCTTCCATAATGTTTATATTTATATCACCTATGATAAAAATATTTTTATCATATTTGTCATCGTTTAGAAGAGCATCTAGAGAGCTCAGGAAATTATCTATGTTTTTATTTGACGGAGATCTATATATACACAAAAAAATGCAGTCCGGTAAGGTAACTTCAAGACAAGATGCCTCTGATATTGATATTTCTTTTACTTTATGTTCCAAGGAATTGTTAACATAAACAGCAACACCATCACTTTTCGTGACTTTGAATGTGGTGCAATAGGCTAAGTAACCTGACCTAAGGGGTATCGGTATATTGGGGTTTAGCCTACATTCAGTAAGTACAATAATGTCAATGTCTTGTGAAAGTAGAGTTAGGTTGGCACTTAAATCATCGGAATTCTTATAAATGCTTCTGATATTTTGGTTTGCTATAGGGTATGACGGCTTCAGAGATGGTAAGTAGTCATGCAAATTATTTATGGAACACGAGAAACTCTTAATGTTTGTTAATTTGTCTAATTCATGCATAATTTCCTGATTGTTTTTATCCATTATTGAAAATAATACAAGTAAACGGTGTAGTTGAAAGGTTATACCTGTAACATTTAGTGTTTTGAAAAATATTATGGTATTTTGCAATTGTTATACTAGCTAGAAAAGTCACATACAATGTTCCATAAACACTAAAACTGAATGCAAGATAAATTTTAGAGTAATAATAACAATTAACTGTATTGGAATTGTACCACAATTTCAGTAGAATACAATGTTTTATATAATTATATATTGATTTAGTTTTTTTTAAAGAGTAATGAACTGGATGATGTTTAAGAATTGTTGATTTGCTTGACTGTATGAGATAAAAGTACCTAACTTTATTTATTTTGTGGAAAGTTCTATTAAATGGAGAAATACAAATGCAATAATAAGAAATTAAAAGTAAAAGTAAAGTTACGTAGTCGGCTAGTCACTCATTGTTCAGATTCTGGATTTGAGATTACTGTGAACTTGTATTATAGGAGATTTTTCGTCTTTTCTCAGATATACACGTCCGTATGAGGTCCAACAAAATTTATATCCTTTAGATTTTTTGAGGTCTCTTGCAAGAAAGAACAATCTAGATGCAATCGGAGTCAGATTTTCACTAATGAAGATTGGGGTATCTGCATATTTGTTAATGCCCAAGTGTTTAGTAGCTAACTTATTAGATTTGTTGCGCACGTTGAATTCTTTGGCACTCCTTAGGATTTGATCTTTAGAAATGGTTGAATTGAGTTCGACAATTATTGTTTTTCTTTCCGTTGATCCTTTGGACTTGTAGATGTCTTTGATATCGCTTTTTGATAGGTTTAAGTCCAGAGTTTTAGTGAAGTTATTCACTAAGCCAATTAGCTCTTCTTTTGTTGTATGCGAATCAATAGGTACATTTTTTATTTCAATGGAACTTTTTCGAGAGTTTCTCATAAGTTCCTCAAGCCGGTCCTCTATTATCGCTATATGTTCATTCTTCTTTTTTATTTCCAACTCCAGGTGTTCTATTTTATTTTTGAACTCGGCATTTTGCTCTGCTAGAAAAGATATGGAGTTTTCTATACCCTTGTTAGCTGTTTGAATGTTGTTTAATATTGGAAACAACTTTTGCAACTGGTCGTTTTGTCTTTCTGACCAGGAATTAAAGAGTTCTATCATTTCCTCGCGAAATTCTGAAAAGTCATTACTCCGTTTTCTCTTCATACGGGTGGTGATATAGCCACTTGTGGATTCCTCATCTGCTGTGTTTAAATTAGGTTCCGACTGTGTCTTGTCTAATAGTTGTGAATCCATATTTAAGTTATGCGGCCCTTTTTGTTCTTAGTAAGTAACAAACCAGTCGTAGTCCTTCCGTAGTGCAGTCACCGCTACGCGATCGCCGTAGCAAATACACTACGGCAAGAGAGCGAGAGGAAAGATGTTGTCGATTATGCATATGCAGTGATCATATACATACAGCGCAGGGATCAGAGTACTAGGCGCGCATACGGTTACAAGCAGTCGAAAGTGGGCACAGCACGACGTGACATTAGACAGGGGTAAGCACGATAGAAATATAAGCTGGTCTCACCCACAGTGACTCCGCATCCGCGCTTGTTGTTTGGCTGGATAAATAAGCTCCTTGCGGATTCGTCGCTCCCAATATTATCACTGACTTTAATTTAGATTTATGCTATTTTATTATTTAAAATTTTTACAAGGTTTAAATGCGACTACTCATTACCGAGGTCCGAGGGGAAGAGTAGTGGAAAAGAACAGTTCTTGAGTGACCCTTGGTGCCCTCCACTAGATTCCTTACAGCTGCAGCTCGGTTATATGCATGTTTTATTATTGTCTTAGTTATTATTACTAGCTGGCCAGGCAGACGTTGTTCTGTCCTTTTCGACGATCCTTCATATAAAAAATCCTTAAATTCGTAATAAAAAAATATTGAGAGTTACTTATCAGGATAAAAACTATCCTATCTCTCAAGTTGGACCAAACTTGACGGAGTGTGCAAAATTTCATTGAAATCAGTTCAGTAGTTTAGAAGTTCATCGCGGACAAACAACGTGACACGTAATTTTTATATATAAAGATTATTTTACGTATTATTTTTTGCGACATATCTCTTTATAAGCTATTGTAACTTTGCTCTGTCTTAATTTTTATAGTATTTTGTAATGCTGTGTCATCTTTATGGGTGCACATATCAGTCACTAGATTAAGCCTACTTTTCAATAAAATGTAATATGTGCACTGCTGGTGTCCTATAAATAAATAATAAATAAATAAAAAGATAGATGGTGTGACAGCACGTAATGAATGATGTAATGCAGGAAGTCGATGTAGGCTAATGTGTAACTGTGGACTTATAAACAGCTGTAAATATGATGAGGTATAATCTTAATTGATTGATGAGCCGTGGTAGCTCAGGGGCCGTAATAGTTTCACAGTACGCGATCATCCGGGTTCGATCCCCGGCGGCATCAATGAAATTGTTAGTTGCAATTTTAAGTGCTTATTTACCACGTACTCGGTGGTGAATAAAACATCGTAAAGAAGCCTGCATGTCTGAGGAATAAAAATATTCTACAAATATAAAGTTCGCCAATACGCTCTGAGCGGCACGGCACGGCAACCTAAATAATTTTCTCAGAAATATAAAAGCTGTGACTTTACTTTTCTCTTTTTTGTTCACCAAAGGAAGATTTATTGTAAAAAATAAACAAATATAGGATGACAAGAACAAGCAAACGGCATTTTCAACGGGCTTCAAAAAAGGAGGAGGTTCTCAATTCGACTGCTTTTTTTATGTGTATTACTTCAGAACTTTTTCCTAGGTGAACCGATTTTGATGACTCTTTTTTTTATTTGAAAGTTGGTGCTTCTCATGCGGTCCCTTATTAATTTAATCAACATCTGACCTGTAGTTTTTGAGCTATCCTTAATAATGCGTATTTAATTGACTTCGACTACATTGATGATGTTCTCATTTTACTTATATTGAAGTCAGTTTTACCACTTACCTATCTTCCAGATACTTCCCAAAAGAAAAGTAGTCGTAAAAAAAATTATCAACAAGACATAATATATGAAAAAGGTTTACTCCTTAGGTCAGAGGTTAAGAGGATTTAGAAATTAAATAATTATTTTAAATCAATAATAAATATTTAATAATTATTATAATTAAAAGGGTTTCAAAACGTTCTGATTGTTAACATTTGTAAAGAACATTTTCTTTTGAAGTTCTTTTATATCAACTACGAAGGCAATATTACTATGTCACAATAAATATTTGCATAAATATCGAGTCTCCCGCTCGTCCTAACCTATACAGTTTTCAACTTTTAACCAGGAAGTAAATAAGAATGCAAGATTAGACACTAAACCAGTATTTTTTTTTCAGTAAGAGAAAAAAAAGACTTTTTTTTAATGAGCTAAAGGACAGTGCCAAAGAAGAAAGTTCCCTAAATAGTGTTGTCATGTTTTTATTTTTATATATTTTTAAGTTATGGTATATTGCTATGGGCCAATGTCCTTAATTTTTAAGTCCTTGATGCCTAAAATAAAATATTTTATTGTATTGTAATTTGTATTTTTGCATAAATATTGAACCCGACCCGGATCTGAACACATCACCAACAGCGTATTATCAAGGTACTCTAACTACTTGACCACGTATACTTAGTGACTACCGGCTTGAAGTAATGCTGGGTTATTATTCTAAGTTGCTACTTGGTAGGACTGGGGTTATAGAATGCTTACCTCATTGTACTCCTGAGGGCCTTCCGGACCAACCTTTAGTAGATACTCTTGAGCTCTGACGTTCTTAGGATTTTGTAAGCCGATGCCCAATGGTGGCATGTTTTGAATAATTTCGTAAATTGCCTCGTGAGTGTTAAAATGAATATGCGTTGTCATTGCCATTCTCTCACTGAAAAAAAAAACAAGACAAACGTGGATAAAAATCAGATATTATATGTAGCTCAAGTTATTTTGTACGCATAGAAGCCTTAAAAACTTGAGATACTATCGTCATCGACTGTCCGCTGAGCAAAATCTCCCAATAACTTTGTAATGTAACGCATGAGCATATTGTGAAGAAGTTATTTTAGGCAAAATGTTAATAATAATTTTTTACTTGACACTGGCAAAAGTATGACCGTACGAGTCAATAACCAAAGAAAAAATCACATTACGTGGAAACTTAACCACAAGCTGGATGTAGCTTCTGATTGTCCCTCCTGTTGTCTTAAAATAATGATTCAAAGTGAATTTTATACTTGAAAGTGGGCTTAACGAAGATCAAAGGAAAATATTTTTATTACTACTGCTAGCTTTGTATCAACTGATTTAAAAACAATCAGTGGCCCTCTCTCGTGAATCTTCTTGACTAACATACTGTGCCTGCTGCTTATATGTTGCTCCTGGTTAAGTAGTATAGCAATTATTTTTGAATGACATGTCAACGTTAAGATTTAGAAAGTCAATATGGCCAGCCTCACTGGATATTACATATATAACTAAAGTGACAAACAAACTTGTAGTCCACCTGACATTAAATGGCTTCTGCAGCCCATGGAATACGGCAAACCAACTGCAACCGAGAAGACGCATCTGTAGCGTTGTCAATAAGGGCTAATAATTTTCTGCTCACCAGATGTCGCTAGTTTACACTGAGGTAAAGTTTTTTGTTATACAGTGTAATTTGATTGAAAAGTTGGTGTTTAATAAATGCTTATCAGTTTCTAGAGTATTAAATTAATACACAAAACAATGCGTCAGTGGTTTGCTCTTTAATTTTTTTGCACATATTTTACTTTCTTTTTAATTTTTCTACTTTTATGAATATCTGTGGTTTGGTTTATTTATTTTTAATGTTATTAATATAAAATATAGCTAATAGTGCAGAAAGAAACAATCACCTTTACATTTTCCGAACAAATTAACTTCCCCGCTATTAAATCTGTCAAATAATATACCTCACTTTCTAGTGGCGCCGCCCTGGTGGCAGAAAAAGTCATGGATGCTCTCATTGTCATCACTGATGACTAAGAAGTAATGCCTCACAGTCTGTTATACTGGTCTGTTGTACTAGTCTGTTTATACTGGCCCTTTAAACCATTTAAACCTTGAAAACAGCAGTGTAAGCACTGTTATTTGGCGGCAAAAATGTGTAAGACGGCGGGTGGTACCTCCCCAGACGGACTTCTAGACATAAAAAGGAGTCCTACCTACCACCTAGTTTTTTACGCAACCCTGATGACTCTTTAAATATTTCTTCCGTCTTTTTATATCGACTTCAAGCAGGAGGAGGTACTCAATTCGACTGTATGTTATTTTTAATGTGTGTTACCTCATAACTTTTTTCTGAGTGAACCGATTTCGATGATTATTTTTTATTTGAAGCTGGTGTTTTTTTTATAGGAGAGGGGGCAAACGAGCGTGCAGCTCACCTGATAGTAAGTGACTACCGCCGCCCATGAACAACCGCAACACCAGGGGAATTGCAGATGCGTTGTCGGCCTTTTAAAAAGGAGTAGGCTCTTTTCTTGAAGGTCCCTAAGTCGTATCGATCTAGAAAAATCGCTGATGGTAATCGATTCCACAAGGAAGTCGTGCGAGGAAGAAAACATCTTCTAAATCGCACAGTGGTGGACCGCCAATCATCCAGATGGTGTGGGTGTATCGGGAGTTCTGCCGCGATGTGCGTTCGTGAAATTTGGCGGCTGGGATTAATCCGAACAATTCCTCAGAGCACTCCCCGTGGTAGATGCGAAAGAAAATGCAAAGGGATGCAACATCTCTTCGCAGTGCCAATGAATCGAGCCGATAGAAAAGGAATCGGCCGTCGACGATTCGAGCCGCTCTGCGCTGGATGCGGTCAAGTGGAAGGAGCTGGCACAGGGGAGCCCCTGCCCAGAGATGGGAACAGTATTCCATGTGAGGCCGAACCTGCGCCTTGTAAAGTTGCAGGCGTTGTGCCGGCATGAAATACTGTCCCGCTCTGCTGAGCACGCCAAGCTTTTTAGAGGCCAATTTGGCCTTCTCTTCCAAGTGACCACGAAACTGCACGTCACTCGATATTTCGACTTCGAGGATTCCGATACTGGCTGAGGAAGGGGAGTGCCTTGAAACTGAGGAGATACGACAAAGGGGTTCTTTTTAGCGGTAAACGCGCAAACTTGTGTCTTCTGAGGATTAAACTGGACTAAATTTAGTCGCTCTAAGACTCGACTTCAGACACAAGTTTGCACCGGTACTCAGCGACGTTTTCCCGAGAAATATTGGCACGGCCGGTGTATAAAGCATCACCAGTGCTGTCATCCGCATAGCAATGAATGTTACCAGTTAGCAACATATCATTGATATGCAGAAGAAACAGCGTTGGTGATAGCACACAGCCTTGTGGAACACCAGCGTTAATAGGCTTGTAGTCGGAGCATGCACCGTCTACAACGACCTTGATGCTCCGATCTGCAAGGAAGCTGGTGATCCAATTGCACAATTTCTCGGGAAGCCCATAGGAAGGGAGCTTCGAAAGAAGCGTTTTGTGCCAAACCCGATCGAAGGCCTTCGCAATGTCCAAACTAACGGCCAACGCCTTCCCCTTGGACTCTACTGCCTCCGCCCATCTATGGGTCAGGTAGACCAGAAGATCACCAGCTGATCGACCCCGACGAAAACCGTATTGGCGGTCACTAATCAGATGCTGATCCTCAAGGTACCGCATGAGTTGGCAGTTAATAATGGATTCCATTATTTTGGAGAACAAGGAGGTGATGGCGATAGGCCTATAGTTGGACGGGTCTGAGCGGTCGCCATTTTTAAGGATCGGGTGGACAAAAGCTGTCTTCCATGAATTCGGGACTACTCCTTGGGAGTAGAAGTACCGGAAAAGACGCGTTAGGACCGGTGCCATCTCCGGAGCACACGTCCTCAGCACAATTGGGGGGATTCCGTCAGGCCCACTCGACTTCTGGATGTCCAGGGAGAGGAGTGCTTTGCGAACCGAGCGCTGTGAGAACAGCACATCCGGCATGGAGCACTCACACCGCGGGATGGTCGGCGGTGTTTTCCCCCAGTCACCAAGAGTCGAGTTGGACGCAAAAAGGGAGCCTAAAAGGTCGGCTTTGTCTTTTGCGGCTTAGGCCAGTGAGTCGTCCTCCCTGTGCAGAGATGGTAGTGATGGCTTACAGAAATTCCCTTGGACAGCCTTGGCGAGAGACCAGAATGCACGGGTTCCCGAAGGAAGGCGAACTAGTTTCTCGCCAATTCTGCCTATGTGCTCTGACTTTGCCTTGGCAATAACTCTTTTGAAGGACCTGGAGGCGAAGTTATACTTCTATTTAAGTGTGCTGGTGTTTACATCCCGAGTCGCCGAAGCCGCAGCCCAGGCTTGATAACACTCCTGCTTACTGCGTAATGCAGTCTTACAGGAGCGACCAAACCAAGGCTGAGATCTGCCTCTGATGGGTACCACAGATGATGAAATAAATAGTTCCATTCCCTGTAGCACCACATCAGTGACAAAGTCAGCAACAGCGCTGGGATCATCCGGCAAGAAGCAAACCCGCCCCCATGGGTAGGATGCAAAGAAAGACCGCATTCCGTCCCAATCCGCTGACCTGTAATGCCAAACACGGCGGCAACCTGCAGAACGCAACCGCGAGGTGAGCGTGAGTGGCACCACACTCCGGATCAGACAATGGTCCGAAGAGCCGAGAGGGGCATCGATGGAAAACTGATATCCGTCCGAATGAGAGGTCAGTAGAAGGTCCAACAGGGAAGGTGTATGATCCTCCACATCTGGAATCCGCGTAGGCGAAGTAACCAGTTGTGTCAGATCATATGCCAAGGCAAAGTCATAAACAGATCTCCCCGCATGATCGGTTAAGCGTGAACCGAGCCATTCGCCGTGGTGGGCGTTAAAATCGCCAAGGATCACGATCTCTGCGGACCTGATGTAGCAAGGAATCTGTAGCCATTTGGACGTGGTCGATGAGTCAGTCTGTTTCGGCATTACCGCTATGGGACCTATAAAGGCAACTGTAGACACTCGGATGGTCGTCGCTGTCTACGCGTAGCCAAAGGATGGACAGGTCTGAATCTTCAAGATTGCCGAGGCGTCAAGAACAGATGTCCTCTCTGACATACACGCAAACTCCAGCCCGAGGCACAAAGGAGTGCCCCAATTTGTACCCCGGGTAGGAGAGATACGAAGTAACAGCCGGAGAGGACACCTGCGTCTCGGTCAGAAAAAGCAAGGCCGGCTTCGCAGTCTCGAGATGGTAGTGAACGGCGTTTAGGTTCGAGTGAAGTCCCCTGATGTTGCAGAAATTCACAGATAGCGAGGCAGGGGTTGCCTTGGTATTGTTGCTCAGTTTGTCCCGAGCAGTTATGTTTTTTAGCGGAATTTTGCCCCCCCCCCCCCCCCAGAATACGCGGGGCAGCCTGAGCACCCACGCTCAGGAGTGGAATAACATGGTCGTGGATGCTCAGCGAGGAATTCTCCAGGGGTGCTGGTACCCTCCTGGGGTAGTCTTTCGTGTAATTCCGCTACCATGTTAATATGGGGGGGGGGGGGATGGGGCCTCCGGCCACCTGCACTCACCAGACGAAACGCAGAAGCAGAGCTTCTACTTCACGCCGGTATTCTCTGAGGTCATGGCAAAAACTGCCGCGTGGCTCTACCATCGTGCTTCACATTAGATCCCATATAAATTTGATCTAGGTCTGACCAATATAATAGTTTTTGAGTTATTATTAATATTGTTTGCGCTACTATTAATTTCTTGTTCATGACAACACTAGTTACCACTAGCGCCCTCTAGTATCGAGTGGCAGTCCCAGTTGGGAGAGTCAAGATCCTTCTAGAAATTTCGGGACCGATATGTAGTCGAACATACTAGATGTTTCTACAGTAGAAAGTTCTGGAAACTATCTGAGGCCCTATATAAGGCCGGTATAGACCCCGACCCAGGCAGTATTGAATTGGGGATATAAGCGAATACTGCGAACTAAAGTGATCAGTAGTACAATTGTGTTTTATTATTAGTGTGGTTTTAAATTGTAATTAGTGTTCTGTAATTAAAGTGTCAATTTTGGTAATTCACTCGACAGTTTTAGTTGTCTCGAACCCCAAGCTCGTAACAATATGTTATTATGTTGAAGTCGGTTGTATAAAATTTTTAATTTCAAATTATTGTTAGTGTAAAACATGATAAGCATGTAAATTATTCTGTTTTGCACATTCTTGTTGAAATAACAAACATACCAGCAAATTGCAAAGTAGGCGCAGGTCTAGAGACTCATGAACCCCCGATACTAAATACAATTTTAATAAAGTATAATTTTGGTCGTTATCAAATCTTACATGAGATAAAAGAATTTCTAGTCTATTTTTCTACCAACTTCAAAAAGGAGACGGTACTCAATTCGAATGTATGTTTTTTTAACTTTTTACTGGGTGAACCGATTTCGATGATTCTTTTTTTATTTAAAAGTTGATGCTTCACATGAGGTCCCATATACATTTGATCAAGGTCTGAGCAATACTTTTTGAGTTATTCTTAATACATAATTTATATTGAAGTCGGTAGTACAATATTTTTAATTTTAAATAATTTCTTTTTATCTTTCAATAATTAAAACCTTTATTTTTAGAAAATTATATTTAACTTTAATTTTTTATACTACGTTTGATATCGAGTCTTCAAACTATATTTTTATGTTTTTAAATAAAGAATGAGCAAAAATAGATAGAGATGTTTATTTAACATCTGAAATTGGTGTTAAAGAATACAATGTCTTTTTACTAATTTTCATCTTTTAAAGACAACCATACTACTTAGTGTCTAATGACTTGCTTACCTGTGAGAAAAACCTTTTATATGTAAAATTCTCATTTGTTTTATTATGGTGGTCTTTCCACTTTCCCCGGTCCCCAAAAGCAGCAATTTGATTGCCTGCAACAAGGTAAATTAGACAATGTTTGACACAAAAGTTACAATACAGTTTTTAGTGAAGGGTTTTGCCGTGTCTGACGGTGTACATGCGGCATAAAATAGACCCGGCGTTAACGACTCTTAGTGGTTAAATTTAAATTTAAAGTTAAAGTTACCATATACGTCCTACTGCTGGGTACAGGCCTCTTCTCATTTCTGAGAGGGTTTTAGGGCAAGGAAATGTCCGCCGCGGTGCGCCAACGTGTGTTGTCGAATTTCACGTCTTCAAAATATTTTTTGTTACTTATTTCCCAGACATGCAGGTTTCCTCACGATGTTTTCCTTCACCGCTGCGCAAGTGTTGATTTGCACTTAAAGTTGCAACTAACAATTTCATTGATGCCGGTGGGTATCGAACCAGGGTTAGGACGAGGACGGGAGAGGACGACTCACTGACCCATGCCGCAAAGGAGAAATTCGATCTGTTAAGCACTCTCTTTGCATCCAACTCGACTTTAGATGACGGGGGGAAACACACCGCCGACCATACCGCGGTGTGAGTGCTCCATGCCAGATGTGCGGTTTACACAGCGCTCGGTTCGCAAAGCACTCTTCTCCCTGGACGTCAGCAAGTCAGGTCTGTCAAAAAGTGTTTCTTTCAAAGCTTACTTCCTATGGGCTTCCCGAGAAATTGAGCAAATGGATCACTAGTTTCCTTGCTGATCGGAGCATCGAGGTCGTAGTAGACGGTGCATTCTCTGATTTCAAGCCTACTTCCACAAGGCTGCGTGCTATCGCCAACGCTGTTTCTCCTGCATATCAATGATATGTTGCAAACTGGTAACATTCATTGCCATGCAGACGACAGCACTGGTGATGCCTTATATACCGGCCGTGCCAATATTTCTCGGGAAAAAACGTCGTACGAGTACCGGGTCAAACTTGTGTCTGAAGTCGAGTCTCTGCTGAACAAAGTCTCGGATTGGGGGCGACTAAATCTAGTCCAGTTCAATCCCCAGAAGTCACATGTTTGCGCGTTTACCGCTAAAAAGAACCCCTTTGTCGTATCTCCTCAGTTTCAAGGCACTCCCCTTGCTGCCTCAGCTAGCATCGGAATCGTCGGCGTCGACATATCGAATAGTGTGCAGTTTCATAGTCACTTGGAAGGGAAGGCCAATTTGGCCTCCAAAAAGCTTGGCGTGCTCAGCAAAGCGAGACAGTATTTCATGCTGGCACATCGCTTGCAACTTTACAAAGCGCAAGTCCGGCCTCACATGGAATACTGTTCTCATCTCTGGGCCGGGGCATCCCAGTGCCAGCTCCTTCCACTTGACCGCATTCAGCGCAGAGCGGTTCGAATCGTCGACGACCGAGTTCTTTCTGATCGGCTCGATACACTGGCACTGCGTAGGGCATCCCTTTGCATTTTCTATCGAATTTACCACGGGGAGTGCTCTGAGGAATTGTTCGGATTAATTCCAGCCGCCAAATTTCATGATAACATCCTCACCATATGGTTGCTTGGCGGTCCACGACTGTGCGTTTTACTAGGAGTTTTCTTCCTCGTACAACTTCTCCGTGGAATTGTTTAGGCCCGGCGATTTTTCCGGATCGATACGACTTAGGGACCTTCAAGAAAACAGCTTACCTACACCTTTCTAAAAGGCCGGCAACGCATCTGCGATTCCCCTGGTGTTGTAGTTGTTCATGGGCGGCGGTAGTCACTTACCATCAGGGGAGCCGCATGCTCGTTTGCCCCCTCTTCTATAAAAAAAATTTTTAAAAAAAACTAGGTTATTGGCAGCAGCGACTTACTAATAACAACTAAAAAATTAAAAAAAAACTGCAGCTGCCTAACCACCTGCCAAGCGTGGCAACTATGACAAATCCATGGGGGAGGCCTATGTTCAGCTGCGAACTTTTGGTAGGCTGTAACGGTATTTAAAGTTAAAGTCTTAGATCGTCTATTAAATTCCACAATTAAACTTATGAATCTAAATTGATCATCATCATCATCATCATTACAGCCCTTCACAAGTCCACTGCTGAACATAGGCCTCGCCCAAGGAATGCCACAAAGTATGGTCATGAGCCACCTGCATCCATCGACTTGCATGTCTTACCAGGTCGTCACTCCATCTAGCGGAGGGTCACCCTAAACTTCGCCTACCGGTACCTATGAAGCTAAATTTGATGATTTTTATTTACCAACGTGGCGCTATATCATGTCAGCAAAAATAAAGAAAGTACCACGTTGCATCTACCATTATATTTTAGCTCCAATAATATCATATCAGATTGGATTGATTATCAACTAATCAGCAAACGAAATTATCTCGAATTTAACGTTTGAGATCAAGAGTGCCGCCGCCCCGCGATAAAATGTTATGTTTTTATACTGCATACGCTATCCGATCAAACTTTTAATCAATAATAATATTAAGAGTTTGCAGTATGTTCTATATTCTACGTACATGTGTAAGTCTTCCTAAATTAACATGAAAGTCTTTTGAGGAGCAAACACAGACGTAACTTTGCTTCGCTGTGTTTAGCACAAGCATTAACCAGTGTTAACTTTAAAAAGGTAATAGGTACTTATAAGTCTTTCCATAGAATTTACATTGTCGTATAGATTACTGGATATTTAAAAACAATAATTTAAAATTAAAATTTTGTACAGCCGACTTCAATATAAGTTATTAAGAATAACTCAAAAAACTCAAAAACTATTGGTCTGACCTTGATCAAATTCATATGGGACCACAAAAGAAGTATCAGCTTTCATATAAAAAAGAATCATCGAAATAAGTCCACCCAATGAAAAGTTATGAGGTAACACACAACAAAAAAAAACATACGCGTCGAATTGAGTACCGTCTCCTTTTTGGAAGTCGGCAGAAAACGTACTCCAAATATCGTTGGATATGGTCAAATTTTGAAGAAACTACTTTGCAGGTGTTATACCTACTCTATCATTAGATTCACGACTAGCATTATTGGTTAAGTGATCTCCGAGATACGAGATAAAAATACATCCTAATTAATACCTTTCCTCTTTTTTTGAAGCTTTAAAAATAAGGATTTTATGATTTACAGCGGGTGGAAATTTTAGAAGACGCAAGTGAACAATATTTCTGAGTAAGTATGCGCAAGCGTCCTAATGAAAATCAACATTATTATATGTTCATTGATATACTTAATAAATAAATAAATAAATTTGCCATAAAATTATAAATAGACTTAACATAAGGTAATGAAAGGGGTATAATATAAACAGTACATGGGCAGATAAGATAAATATTTTATTACATTTTGGCTGAAGGACATGTAGCCGATGCCATAATAAATTTAAAAACATTAATATTTTAATTTATTTTAAGGTGAAAGAAAGAAAAGAAATTCAAATTTTCTTAAGTTTTTTGCAATGTGTAGGTCAGTGTCAGGTTGTATGTTTAACAAAATATGATTCGCGACCGTAACGAATATGTATTTACAGAATTATAATCATTATAATCATCAATACAACCGTCTATGTCCCTATAATCCCATTGTATGGCTATTTCCAGAAAAACTCAATCAAAGGGATTATATGAAATTAGAGGGTTGTATTGGTGATTTAAATGATATTAATTCTATAAACACATACTCGTTGCGGTCGCGAATCATATTTTATTAAACATACAACCTGACCCTAACCTGCAAATTCCAAAAAACGTAAAAAGCTCAAAGAACCGACATCCGATGGGAAAAAAGGTTCTCGAGTGGCGGTCTCGTACCGGCGGGTGTAGTGTAGGGCGTCCCCCCACTAGACGGAGTGACGACCTAGTAAGACATGCAGGAACTCGATGTGCATGTGGCTCAGGACCGTGCTTTGCGGCATTCCTTGGAGGAGGTCTATGTTCAGCAGTGGACCTGTGAAGGGTTGCAATGATGATGATGATAAAGCATTAGTACAGATTTATAATCTTCGAGCATTAGTTATTCCTTGGATCTGGGTACTGTCAACTGAACACTTACCTCATTGTATGTCTTGATCCATTCTTTGATCTCTCGGTCTATCTGTTTAGAATGGTCTACTCCTTCGTCGTAAGATTTTATACATGGAATAAGACGCATTTTGAAATAACTAAATGACAAAATATTTAAAATCCAGTCCTGAAAAAAAATTTTTTTTCTTTAACATAAACATGAAATGAACATGTTGAATAAAGTGGTATTTTTTATTTTCTTTCTTAGTAATAAAAAATCCTTTCAGAAATTAACCAAAATTAGAACCGCTTGTCAAATAAAAGTTTGCATTTCCTATATTTTGATAAGTGGTGAGAATAGGAAACATCCATCTTTTCATCTTAAATTCATAAATACATGGGAAATACCGCATCTGAATTTCGATTAACAATCGGGGATAGACGTAGGTGTCGATTGACCATAGCATTCCCTTTCCATCAGGTGGAATGTTTCCTAGTTTGCCACCCTCACTTCTATAAAAATACTCAAGATGGAAAATGAATCAGCCGGTAAATGGACTAACTAAATGTCCTCTAGATTCTAAAAAGCCTAGAAAGAACGCAGAGACGTAAATTTTATCTCCTTTCCTCTTTTTAACCCTCGACGAAAACAGACGGTTGTTATAAGCTTGTAGTCCGTTTTAACGGATGAGCCGATATTATTAAGTTTTTTTCGTTTGAAAGGTGTCTTAATCGAGAGTGTTTTTAGCTGTTTCAAGAAAATCCGTTAAGCCGTTTTTTTTATAAGATAAGGGTGACAAACGAGCACACAGTCCACCTGATGGTAAGTGGTTGCTGCGGCCCATAGACATCTACATCTATCCTCTGTTACAAATCAAAATGCGTTGTCACCCGTGAGGACTAAGATGGAATGCCTCATTTCCAGTAAAAAGGGCCTAGGTTTCACGATCATCAGCTCTTATTGTATTGGGAGTTTTTTTTAATTTTCAATTTAAGTTATCTATCTATAGATGGTGTGTACATTTAGTTTCTTACGCTTGAGATGAAATTATAGAATGATGACGATGTTTTCGGAGCAGAGATATTATTAGCAGGGATATATTTATACGTGGTAGAGCCATGCTGCAGCTATATTACTTGTTTAGTTGTGGCACGAATGGGTCCGCTCGACCGGGGAAGGACCAGGCTGTCACAGAATATCAGCGTAAAATCTTAGTCCTCACGAGAGGATAGATGTAGATGTGTATAGGCCGCAGCAACCACTTACCATCAGGTGGACTGTGTGCTCGTTTGTCACCCTTATCCTATAAAAAAAGGGAATAATGCGCCGCGTTACACCACCACTGCGTGTTGGTCACAGACATCATTTTTATTTAATGTCTGCGGTGTTACATATATATACTTTACATATCCACAAATTGTTTCTCACACTCAGATTATAGAACTAAAAAAATATATATAGCGCTCTCATAAATCATCCAGGCTTTCAACAGGAGCACGTGGTAAATCATCACTTTAAATCAATTAATAATTTGTTCGTGCCTTTGGATTTTGATAGATATCGAATTTGCGTCGCCCTCATTACTCTCCAAGTTTATGTAGATAAACCCTATGAAATAATAGTTTTTACGTCTGTTAGTGATCGTGTAACTGAACAACTTGACCGAATGAGATCATATTGAGTCAATATTCAGTGGCGCTTATTATATGTATATACAGGGTTATTTTACAAAGAGTAGCCAAATATTAAAGTTAAGTTCAAATATATAATTAATGATATACCGTTATCTCAGTTTTTGAAAATAGGAGTAAAAAAGGCTTCTAATTTTATTTGAAATTATTCCAAATCGAATGTGATTTATGAGCAACAACGGACAAGGTTTTTGCCTACCGATCGACCCTTAAGAATGTGTACGTTCGCAGTCAAATCAATTAAAATAATGCATTACCACGCATTTTGAATTTAAAAAATTAAAAGTACAGAATGTTTGAGATTTTTGTAATAAATTTTTCTACACTATTTGCTCATATTCATTATTTTAAACCTTCTCTGCAAATTTGGCCTGTTATTGCAAAATAACCCTGTATTTAGATTTATATTTTTTATTACATGAATTATTAAATTATTAAAATTTTTATTATTAAAATATAATACACCAGGTAATTTGTAGGTTCTTTAAAAGTTACTCCTTATAATTATGATAATTTTCACTATTTAAAAAAAAGGTATGATCTAACCTACAAAGTCTGCAAATTATACCTACAATTTAAATAAGAACAAGGTGTATTGAAATAAAATTGTGTTCCTAAATTCTCTGAAAAAACAATTTGAAAGATATTGTCTCGTGAAAAAGTTGAAACGTTAATTTAAGCGCTAAAGCTATTATAAATAAAAGATACAATAAGTAATGTGTAACACTATATAGATCGAATGGATATTACCTTGCTTAAGACTCCAACCACTTGTCAAAACAAAATCAACTTGTAACAATCAAATCTCGGTAGTGCCTGTGAGTCGATTGACCGGCAATGTTTTTCATCTTATCTAAGACAGATAGCATTATCTACACTTCGATTAAAGATAATTACTACGAATTATATCTGGAATATAAGTATTATTTAACAATGAGTGGTAATCTATGGTACATTCCCTGACATGGCTTCTATTTCTACATTTAAAAAGTTAAAGTTACAGTCTATATCTCACATCTGAGAGTCCCAATGAATGTTAGCGAACTTCACATGTCTTCGAAATATGTTTGTATTAATTTTTTTATTTCCCAGACGTACAAGTTTCCTCAGGATGTTTTCCTTCACCGCCGAGCACGTGGTAAATCAGGATCGAATCCGGGTTGCTAGCGTACTGTGAAATTTACAGCGATTCCAACAGAGTGCAAGATAGCTATTTCCATTATAAATATGAATCCAGATCCAGAATTCAGAGAATATCCAGACCTGCAGTAGCGTAAAAAAGCAAAAGTATAAATCATCTGTCGCAAAATGTGGCTGTGATAAGAATGCCATATTATCTTTCAACTGCGGAAGTCGACCGTTTAATAAATCATGACCAAGAAAAATAATAAGAATAAGGGTGACAAACGAGCACACAGTCTACCTGATAGTAAGTGGGTGCTATGGTCTATATTAGACATCTACATTTATCCTCGATCAAGAATCAAAATGCAGAATGCGTTTTGTTTTGTTACCCCTGAGGAGTACGATGGAATGCCTTGATGCCAGTAAAAAGGGGCATGCATAGCAGCATTCAGAGGCATTTTACTGTGGCATTCTGTGGCTGACTGTGTATGTGAAAGAAATTAAAATGATTTCATAATCCATAAATATATATTTGTTTATTTAAGAATACGAAATATCGCCTTTACATTACAAATCTCAAACAGAGGTGTTGTATTTAATTAAAGTGTTAGTTTTAAGCTACATAATAACATAAAAAAATATTTAATTTAAAAAAAAATTATATCTCGAAGAACAGACAACCGTTGGGAAAAAGGTTCTCGAGTGGCTGCCTCATACCGGCAGGCGAAGTGTAGGGTGACCCCCCCACTAGATAGAGTGACGACCTGGTAAGACATGCAGGAAGTCAATGGATGCAGGTGGCTCGGGACCGTGCTTTATGGCATTCCTTGGGGGAGGCATATGTTCAGCGAGGACTTGTGAAAGACTCCTTTTTGTACACCTTATTGTACACCAATACGCATTAGAACGAGACAAAATGAAATAAATATATACAAAGTACAATAGGCGGCCTTATCGCTCTAGAAGCGACTTCTTCCAGACAACCCTTATTTAGCAAAGAACTGTTGATTACAGTATGGAAGGTGTACATAAATTTGACAATCAAGTAAAAAAAAAATAAGTATATAAATACACACAAGGTGATGAAGATTGAAGATAGGAGGACGACGGAAGGTATGATCAGAAATATTAGAGTGTCAAATGTATGTTTTGAGTAGACTTTTGAAGGAAAAAAGGGGCTGAGCACATCGAATATATAAAGGCAAGGAGTTCCACAAGCGTGTAGCTGTAACCGAAAAAGATTTATTGAAGGAGGATGAATGTGCTGGAATGCAAAGCAAAAAATTGTTAGTGGAACGTAGATGACGATCGTGATAGAAGGAAACGAATTCAAAGGGATGAGTCGCTCGCGTCCGTAGGCTTCGACCACCAACCCTTATGCCCACCCTACACGTGTCCCCCGGGTGGTGCTAAACGAGCGACAAAGCCGAAATGACAGACTCGGCTCCTCGCCGTGTGGTAGCGGCGTAAAATCTACCACTTATGTCGCACCATGAGCCAACAGTTTAAAGAAATGGCCCCGAGTTCCCGGCGCCCCTTTAATAGGGCAGGGGTGCGAAGAATCTCCAGGAGGAAAACCGGCGACGAGGTTAGCCACCCGTCACGTCCTGTCTCCCGGAGGGGCGAAAAGTGGATTGCGGAGGCCCGTCTGGCTACGCTGAATGTATGTGGAGCAATGAATGATAAGATGGATGAAATATGCGAAATGATGAATGATAGAGGAATATATGTGTTATGTGTGAATGAGACGAAACGAAAGGGAAGAGATGTCACTGCACATGGCATGTATACCGCTTACTGGTCTGGTGTAGACGAGACCGAGCGGGCATGTCATCCTTTCAGAAAGAATGAGTCAATGTGTGAAAGAGTATGAATGTGTAAGCCCAAGGCTGCTGTGGATACGAATGAAAGTGGGCTTAAAAAAGTTGTTTGTGCTTGGGGTGTACGCCCCAGATATGTCTAAGCCCATTTATATACGAGAGCAGTTTTGGGACATGGTAAGGCTGGTGTTGACGAAATGTAAGGAAAATGAAAATATTATTATGTTAGGAGATTTTAATGGAAGGGTTGGGGTGAAGAGGTCTGATTATGAAAGGATATTAGGAGCGTTTGGCGATGAAAGAATAAATGAGAATGGTGAAGACCTCCTCACCGTATGTGTGGAAAAGAATCTTTTTGTGGCGAACACTTTCTTTCGCCATAAGAGGATTCACATGTATACTTCGGAAAGAGGGGATGATAGAAGCATGATAGAGTTCATAATTGTGGAGCGCAGTGGTGGATACAAGGGTTTACCGTGGGTCCAACGTAGGGACGGATCATTACTTGGTC